TTTTCATCTAGTGTCTGTACAGTGGAAACTATTGCCTACTAGCAATGACCCCCCAGCTGCTCGAGCATACCATTCCATGAACTCTGTTGGTTCGCGGTATTTATTATTTGGTGGCTTTGATGGAAAATCAACTTATGGTGATCTTTGGTGGCTTGTACCCGAAGGTATTTTGCACTTCCCCTCTATCTAACTGTTGAGATTTGCTACACTTCAAATTGAAGAACGAATCTTATTTTATTAGAATATCCATTGTACTTATGACTCTATTTAAGTAGAAATCTAGTTATCAGTTAGGATTATCTTTTGTTGAAGTGCGATATCGGTCTTAGTCTGGCAGGAAGTAGAAATCGAGATCTTATTTTATTAAATAATTAATTGGCCTCGGGATTGTTGGGTTAGAACACCCATTAGGCATTAGGGTTATATTTAGGTTTATGACTCTATAGACATCAGTGTATCTGTTTGGGTTATAATTTGTTGAACTGAGATTGTTGGCTTTAGGCTTGGGTGGTAAGTTTCTTCTCGATCCGGTAATTGCGCTTGGGACAGGCTTCACCTGTTAGAATTGTTGAATTGTTCCATTTTCAATTTAATTTAATATATTTCAGTTTTGTTCTTTTCTTAAAGCATTAATTTTATCAAGATTATTATTAGTCAAATATTATTTCATTAATTTGAGTTGTGTATTAATTGAAGGTGTATAATGATTTTTGGTGCTTAGTTTGGATATGCCATGCATACATGAATCTCTGAAAGAGATGAAACTCCGCCTTTTACCTTTAGCTGAAATTTGTTTTAGTATATGATAGGTACATTGTAAGTTTAATTCGTTATTTCTCATGCACCTTTATATCCGTTCTTCCTTAATGCCTCCAAATTTTGTGAGAAAAGATGGAATCTTCTTAAATTTCCTTTTACATGGATGATTTTTCATGTGTTGTGATGAAATATTGTTTGTATTGATATGGAACTTATTTATTGTCCATGGTTACAGATGATCCAATTGCAAAGAGGTTTACCGGAAAGTCTTCATCTGAAGTTGTTGCTGAGGGGAACAACACAACATCAGAGACAAAGGTGTAAAATGAAAATAGTCTTTTAAGTTTTTCCTTGCTGATAGAGCTTGGGTTGCATACAAATATTGTACTTTAAAATATATTCCTTTCAATTTGACTTCACTTTCAAAAGAAGTTAAAGATTCTACTAATTACTCAAACAAAGAAAGAAATAGAGAGCTAATAAACAAAGTACCTTCAAGTTTTGACCCAGTGGCAAAATGCAGTCATATGGGAAAATTCTGATTATCAAAATCAATGGTTCTATTGAGTATCATAAGACTAGTAATGTATTCTTTATGTACTAATATTTCATGTCTCATTCTGCAGGAACGCCTAAAAGAAGGATCTTCCATGTCAGAGTTGCAGAAAAAACTGGGAATTCCACTCATACTTTCCAGTCCCGAGCTCGTCATTGACGAATTGGAAGACAGACAGCTTATCGAGCTAGCATCAAGAGTTGTTGATGCAGTGGAGTTCACCAGCATGCAGGTTTTTTCAAATATCTTCTTCTTTTCACTTGATTTTTTAGCATATCTTGAATGTAACTGGTCATTTTGGTTGACACTGTCTCGGTTTAAGGCTGTGCAAGCAATCCGTGACCACTGGATGAAATCTGCACCACAAACCATAACATTGAAAGAGCTTGGCCCATTACTTCATGACTATCAACGTTTGGTTACCCGCCATTATATGTGAGATTGATCTCTTCCTGGTTACAGTTTTTTTTTTTTTTTTNGTTTTTTTTTTTTTTTTACTTAACCATAAAAATGAGAGTTGGTGTCTTCTTGGTATTTTTTTTCCTTTTTATTAGTTCTAAGATAAATTGATTCCTTTTCGTAAATTATTAAGTTACTTTGACGCCTATATTGAATGCTCCATAACTGCTTTGCAATCATGTTTTTCTTTGTAAATATTTAACACTGTGTTGAGTAATCTTTTGAGACTTGTTTTCTTCAATGGCAGAGGAAAGGCTGGATCTAATCTGGAGGCTTTAGCATTTGGGTCTTCCGAAAAACGTGTTTTTCGCTTCTATCATGTTAAAAGTGCTTCTAAGGTGACAATATTCTATGATCCTTACTCTCCGCCTCTTGTGATGGTTTTAGATTGTTTACTTTAAAAGAACGAGCCGAGGCCGCCGCTCATTAGCTACATGAAATAAAGCATGTTCAGATTATATACTGGAAGATAATTATATGTGCAGGGGAAACTGAACTATGTGAATCTGTTTGTTTTTCAGCTGCGCTTGAGTGACATCTCGAATCTTTTGGCTGAGTACAAAGACCTTCTCTCATCTATATGTGCCGATAGGGAACTGAAGATGTATGAAGCTCAATAATCTTATGCTGCATGCTGAGAAATGGGTTTTCAGGGGAAACAAAAAATGAAAAATATAATGTAAGAAAATCCGGAGGCAAGAGCCAACAGATTTGTTAAGCATCTTTCAGTGAATATTTGCAAATTCAGCTTTATCTTTAATCATTTCATCTTTAATTTGCTTAAAGATAATCTGTGAGTTGCGTTATTGACTTCAAATGCATGCCCGTGTTTTGGCTAATACACGCTGTCGTTTTGAAGTTTGTTTAGCGAACTAGTTGAGGCGAGGTCAACTCGTTAAGACTCAATTTTGGCTCGTGAATATTGATAAATGAGTTGAGCTATAGATAGAGAGTCGAGCTTGAGTATTAGAAGCTCGGGCTTGGCTCGTCTGCAGCTTTAATTAATTGCAGTGAACTGCATCGTTCATCTAAATTGAAATATTTTGATGTGCTCAGAAAGAAAAGTAAATGCATAATTCATTAGTTCCAGAAAAAAATAAAAGGAAAAAACAGAAATAAAAGGAAAAATAAACAATGTTGTAGTATTTCATTTCATTTGGTTGAGTTTAGAATCTTGGTGAGTTCTTCCAGCTTCTTCATTCTCATGTTCTCACTTTGATTCACCAACTGCAAAAGGACAGCAACACATATAATAGTAAATTCATTGCTCCTTAAAATTCTAACCAAACATAAAAAAGTTGGGACTTTGGTCAAATTTACAGCTAAAATTCCATTTTGAAAGTACGGTTTACCTCCACAAGTGCTGTAGTGAGTTGAGCTTTTTCTTTGCTTTTCTCTTGAAAAGCCTCCAAAGCTTCTTTATATTCCTTCTCCTATCAAAATNTTTCTCATTGGATCTGTGAACTCTTCAATTTCCTAATGCATTTTTTATAAATCGAGGGAGCCAAGAAAAAAAAAAATAGTATTGTTAGTTGCACTGTCATTTTATCTTGTAAAGAAATCATATATTAGTATTTTTTTTTTTTTAATTATAAGTTATAAGGCGAGACAACCTAATGGTTATGCGGATCAATCCGTCATATTTTCTTGAACCAAAATACATACTTATATTGTAAAATGTTATAATTTTGCTCAAGTTATCTTTTAAAGTATGAAAGTTGAATACAAAAGTATGTATACTTGATATTAAAACACATCTACCTAACTCCTAACAGTTAGACCTACTTAAAATAGTCTTATCAAGTTATCTTTTAAAGTATGAAAGTTGAATATAAAAATATGTATACTTGATATAAAAACACATCTACCTAACTCCTAACAGTTAGACCTATCTAACAATAATCTTATCCATAGTTAGTTGGATAGAACTAAATACAATTACTAGCTACCCAACAATAAGACTAACCATTAACATATATACGTTTTCAACAAATATTCATACTTTCATAACGAGATATCATAATTTATGAAATAAATACACAAAACAATGATATTCTCCACCGTATACATATTGTTTTGTTAAAAAAATAATGACATATTAACCCTCATACAATCAAGTTGATTCACATCCATAATTGAATATGTAGAAAAAAACCATTTTTATCGATCCAAATTTGTATGATTATTTTCATCCAAATTATCTTAGACAACCCATATTCTCTTATTATTCAATACATTTCATCATTTAAAAAAAATAATAAAAAAAAAATCACATGAAAGAATTAGCATTGATAAATACCAACACGAAAAAAGTAGTGAAAACCCATTTTAGCACAGAATAAACATGCATATAATTGACAAAGCATGCAAAATAAATTAGTATTTAATTTATTTTTCAAGATTTAATATATAAAAACTTACTTCCCAAACTTGTGTCAAACGCTTGGCTTGTTGTTGGGCACGAGTGAGTTGAGACTCAACCTTTGCTCTCACCTCGAACTTTCTCCTCTCGATTTCCTCTTCTCTCGCTTGGTGCGAAGCCAACACTGACTTTGAGGCCTCATCATCATCGTCATCCCCAGCCGAAGATCGGCCGCTACTCCCTATACTTACACCGAGGCTCTTCATTTTATTTTCAAGGTAATAATAACTCTACAATGATGCTATGGCAAATATGCATTGATCAATAATTTGTTCTGCAATTGTATGGCAATGTCTTGTGTGATGTTATAGTTTTTTTATTTCATATTCAAGGTTATCTACTTTTTTGCTTTTGCTTTAATACTTGCCTTCTTTTTGGTTCCCTCCCTTTCTTTTCAAGCTCTTATTGNTCATACTTTAAAGCTTTAACTTAGCTTTGAGCCTTGAGCCAAATGTATGTACATTTGTGTAAGAATTTCGAAATTTTGATGTGCAATCTTAAATAAAAAAAAAAAATAAAGGAAAAAAAATTCTAATGTGCACTCTTAAATATTTAACACAAGAAACTGTGATCATACATGGACAATTTAAATAATTAACAATAATATTTTATTTAATAACTAAAATAATTAGCAATAATATTTTATTTAATAACTAAAATGACCTTATTTAAAATGTTTTAAAAAATAAGATTAAAAAATGGATACACAATCTTACTGCAATATTAAAAACCAAACGGCCCGCTCTTATTTTTAGACAAATAAGTAAACTTATAGTTTATTTGATTAACTTATAAGCTTCCTATATTCTAATAAGCTTCGTTTGGTAAGACGAGTTTTTTTAAAAAAATCGAGCTTATCTCATAAGCTTCTTTGGGTAACTTTTCAAATAAGCTCGTTGAAATTTTTATTTCAGCTAACTTATCAACTAATTTTACCAAACACTTTTATCATATAAGTTAGTTTTTCAGCTATAAGTCATAAGCTACAAGATCAAAAATCACTTATAAGCTATAAGTTAGGTTATCAGCTAGTTTTACCAAATATAGCCTAAGTAATATCCTCATATGTGTTGAAAGATCACACCCCACACTTTTCTTAACTTCCTACACTTAGAGCATCTCCAATGCTCTGATTTTGAAAGACAATGATTTTGAACACATGTCAATTAATGATTGTAATGTTAATCCACATAAGAATAATGTTAAAAGACTAGAAATTTGAATCAAATTAGTATTTTCAACGCATCAGTTTGGTAAAAGTTATTTGTATAGGTAGACCAATTATAATAAATGATACAAAAATAATAAAAAAATAAATAGTAAGTGAATTGATGAGTCAATCATATTTAATAAAAAATGAGTTCAACATTATCAACATTAAATATCATCTACGTCATCACGAAAGAGCTAAGAGCATCTCCAATGCTCCACTTTGAATATTAATTAAATTTGAACACATGTCAAATGATGAATGAAATGTAAATCCATGTGATATGAATGTCAAAAGAGAAGACTTTAATTTGGAATGCACATCTCCAATGCATCCCTTTCAAAAGATTAAAATAGGTTAGATTTTTTATGAATTGGCTTTCAAACACTCTTTGGAAAACTAGAAAGTGAGCTTCACACTTTGGATATTTATTGTCTCCATGTCAGCATAAAAGAGTCCATAACATTATGGATTGGAGAGTAATTTTTGTAATCACTTTATAACTTGATGATGTGGCTAACATTTTATTAAGTCAACATCACACATTGGAGATGCTCTAACAACTAACAACGTGCATTGAAAAATAAATTAATAGATATAAATAATTTTTTTACAATGTCACTGGAAATCTCTTGAATCTCTCGCTCACTCGCTCTGACTCTCCGAAAAAAAACCCTAAGCCTTATATTTTCTCACCGAAAAATGTCGAAATCCCGCGAGCCCGAGAATCCCGTCTCCTCTGAAACCTCTTCTGGCGAGGAGGAAAACGACGATTCCTCGTCTGAGGAAATCGAATCAGAGCCCGAACTGATCCGCAAGTCTTCCGCTCCGCCGGCCGCCGCCTCCGCTTCACCGGCCAGATCTACCAGAAAGAGGGCCGTCGTGGAGGTTAAGGGGACGGAGCCCACTGTCACCAAGAAGTCGAACAACAGCAAGAAGGCTAAACCCGAGGCATCCGAGAAGAAACAATTGTTCCAAAGGATATGGAGCGAGTCCGACGAAATCGCCCTCCTGAACGGAATTATGCAGTTTAGGGCCGAGAAGAAATGCGATCCGCATGATAATATGGACTCCTTTCATGACTTCATCAAGAAGAATTTGCACTTTGACGTGACGAGGACCCAGCTGAGGGATAAGATGTCTAAGATGAAAAAAAAGTACACAAACAACAAGAGAAAGGAGCAGGAAGATAAAGGAAGAACCTTTACGAGCCAGCATGAGCAGGAAGCCTACGATTTATCCGAGAAAGTGTGGGGAGCTGAGAAAGAAAACGGGGTCGAAAAAGCCAATGGCAGTGGGGCGAACACTAACAATATTGAGGATTCACGGGCTAGTGAGAGGAGGTATGAGTTAGGCGACAATGTTCCAGTCGAAGAGGGGGAAATGGAAGAAGCATGGAAGAAGTTCGAGATTGAAGAGATGGAGATAAATGTGAGGCATTTTGAGGTCAAGACTCAACAGGCAAAGCTTCTTCTGCAGATCATGAAGTCCCGGGGCCATTGAGCAGGTTGCTTGGTGTTGTTGCCTTCTGGTTTTTATCAATATCTATAGTTTATTTGGCTTATTATGTGATGGATCCATTGCGTATTTTGCTTTGTGTTTATGATTTGCTAGCTTCCTGGCATTTGTTACTATGTGCAGGAATTCTGTTCTGGTTTATTTTGTGATAGTTTTTGGTTTAATAATTAGTCTACACTTTTTTGTTGTACTTCTAGACTATTGTGATAGTGAGTTGTATGAATCAAGTATTTTTCCCAGCAGCAAAGCACATTAGGAATGTTTCATTTGTTTGTTGGTTTGTTCAGTCCTATAAATGGAGGTGAATCCAGCTACGAGGTCCAGATGAACCTTTTTTTTTTATAAATATAATGGCTATTTTTCTCTAAATATTTTATAAACCTCGCATGTTGATGAATATTACAAGTATCTTGATTATGGGTTCTCCCTATCCAGACAAGTGAGCCCCTTGTTATACATGCTCTGCCCATAAATGTGGCTGATGGCTTTGTGTGGGTGATTACTCCTGTTTGTGTGAAATAAAATTCCTCAGATGAGGCTATTCTGGCGGACATTTGTTGGCTGTATTTTATATACGGCATGCTATGTGGTGATCTTTGCACTTTATTTGATTGGCCAGTTTTATCTTTTCGGGCAGCATCTTGTATGTAGCACTTTTGACTTTTAGATGTTGGTCAGGGGCTCGTTACACTTGAATCATCGGTTTGCACTGCCTAGCTTGACCGTGAAAATTTGGTTCGTGATATACCTTAGAGGGAGAAGTGTAGTGTTTTGGCGTTTGTTCCCATGAAGAGTCGTTTGGCTTGTTGCTTTGATAAGTGTGTGCTTTGGATAGGGCTGACATTTTTTAATAGAAAACCGAACCGAATCGAACCAAACCGAATCGACGAGAAAATAAACCAAACCGTACCGAACCGCTTGTAACGGTAACAGACTATTGGTTACCGAATCACTATCGGTACGGTATCGGTTTGAACCCGTAAGAGTTCGGTAAAACTGATACCGAACCGATAAGGGTAAAAAAAAATAAAACAAAGATTTTTTTTTTAAATATTAAAACAATGATTAGTTATTTAGTGTTCAAAAATTGAAATAAGGGCTCAATCCTACCTAAATCTCAAAATGACGAGAAAAATACCATTACTCATCGGCTCATTCACCTTCTAATCGGAACATTGTTGGTTTACCAGTCTCACTTCTTCTAAAGAAGATGCATGCTACCGTTACTGTAGTCTATTCTCGTACCACTGTTATTAGATAAGTTAGTTGAAGTTGTATCACAAATTTTGTTTCTTGCATGTTAGCAATATATTGTTTTATTAGTTGCGTTTACCACAAAAATCATAATCTAATAATATATAAACTAACTTCTATACATTAAATTTAAGCTTTTTAATCCTTCAATGGATTTGTGAGTCTTTTGTGCGTATTTAATTGGTAAGCAGTGAAAAAAATTACAAAAATGACGAGAAAAGTAAACACTAGCAATTTTTTCTTTTGTGCTCAAAATCGGTTCGGTTTTTGGGTATAAAACCGATACCACCGAGTTTTCGGTTATCGAATTTTCGGTAACCGACTTTAATCGGTTCGGTATCGGTTTTGCATTCCGAGATTACCGACATTATTGGTACGGTATCGGTATACGCTTATCGGTTCGGTAACCGAACCGGTACCACCCCTAGCTTTGGATGTGTGTGCTTTTTTTATGAAGCGTGGGAAGTAGGAAATTTTTAGGTGTATGGTGCTCAGATGGTGAGGAATCCATGTGGGTGAGCTTAAAGGTGAAGCCATTTGAGGTCATTTGAAAATTTATTGCTATATTCATTTTGCAGGCTGTAAACAAGTTGAGCAGCTCACGAGCCACTCGCAATCCCTCGAGTCAATGCTCCCCTTCAGCTTGCTCAAACTCAAGCTCGAGCAGTTCAATTGAGCAAACAAGTCGAGCCTCGAGCATCAGGAGGCTTTTTATTTTCATAAATACCCTATATATTTGAACACTCTTGACCAGATTTGTCGATTTAGATTAAGAATAGTACTTTTTATTTAAAATTTATTTATAGTTGTTAAAATTTCGAGTTGATTCTGGCAGCACGGATAGTACTTTTTATTTAAAATTTATTTATAGTTGTTAAAATTTCGAGTTGATTCTGGCAGCATTTTATTCGTGGAGCTTGAACTCGAGCAATGAAGAAAAAGTTTGACTACGCTTAACAATGTCGATGTTCGACTCGACTCGCTTGCAACTCTAGTCGCATCTAATAATAATTTTTCTCTAACTTTATTTTCAAATTCAAAAGAACACTTCCAAAATAATTGATTTCTCATCAACTCTCATACAACCAATAAAAGGAAAAGGATATAAAACCAAACAATATTTAATGGTTTGATAACTTTGTTTAGTAATCGAATTGATATTTAATTTATTAATATTTATATAATTATATGTACAATACTTGCAAGTAATAAAATTTATATAAAATATTATTAATTTATTATTCAGATAATTTAAGCATTCAAATATGTAGACTAATTGATGCAAAGCGGTTTTGCTCAACGCTATGTTGGGAACGTAAGTTGTCGTTAAAAAGGAATTTTTATGCGGTTTGAGAAGTTTAAATGAAGAGAATGCATTTATTAGAAGTTTAGCGTATAAATAAAAATTAAGCCTACAAGACGTCCGGGCAGGTAGGAGGAGGTACCAAGTTTTTTCTCACTTGTTTGGGTGCACATTAGTATAAATTTACTAGTATTATTTTTTTCCTTCTCTATTGTGACTATTTTTTATCCTCACATTTTCCTTTACTATTGGAGCTTCTATATTTATTAATTAACCAAGTAAATATATATATATGTGCTATGAGCTATTTTCAGTAGATGAACCGTAAGCAGTATTTTTCTGTATTACAAATCTTAAGATAGCATCTAGTCACGTTGAAAGTTCCCTTTTTATTTCCTCTGTAAACTTTTACAAATAATCGGTCAATTAATATATAAATGATAAATTTTCATTCAAATAATATATTTACATACATAAATACATAATTGATAATATTTGTCAAACAACCAAGCGTTTAGAAAAAATAACAAAATGATTGGATAAGAAGCAAAATATGAGGTGGTAGCAAAATATATTTATATAGCCTAAATCTGTAATTTGGTGAACGCAAAAGGGACATTTATACATGCAGATTTTTGAATAAAATGGTCATTCCTAAAGTGGGATTAAAATGTCCCACCTTCAAGACCGGACCAAATAATCCTTTCAATAGTGCATAAAAGTGTGAGACCCACAAGACACGTCAACTTATTATTCAATTCTATCGTTGGATAACAGAATTTATCCAACCATATCTATATCTTATCAACTTAAGTAAACGATATCTTATCAACTTAAGTAAACGAGGTCCTATTGGACAACTACTAGAGTAACTTGTTACAGGTATTACCATACAAATAAGTCTTTCACTGCTTTCATGCTCATAACGAACATATGTACTCTTCATACAAACAAATACAAACAAACAAACAAAAAAGATGTTCTCAATCCTAAAATAATTAAACAGCCTAAATATATCAAGATAAATGTTGAGCTAAAAAATATAAATCAAGATAAACCATACCTTCAAAAATGGGAGCAGTCATCATAGTAAAAACAAACTAACTGTACATATTCGGCCTAAAATCTTGATCATAAGACGATATGCGCATAAACCCACTCTCTGAAGGGCTACTCGGAAATGCTCTTGAAATCCCCTCCTCGATCATCGGTACACGTAGCATGAAATCCGGGACAAATGGATAAGAAGGGTCCGTATAGAGATCATGATTGATCGTTCTATTAGACAATGATATTTGTTGACCTTCACTTTGACCTGGCCGGTTCATCTCTTGACTAAAAGGTCTATATGGGGTGGTGAGAAATAGGTCATTGTAAAAGGCACTCTTAGAATCAAAAAATGAATTATTTGGAAGATAGTTAGAAAAGCTTGGCCGGGCACTAGGTTCAAATTGATAATCAGTCGGCAATCTGAAAAGTTCGGGGGTTCGAAATGGAATTTGGAAGCTTTTATCAAATTTGTGACCAATCATAGGGTAGGGAGTTTTCTCTGGTGATGGTGCAGCTGAGTTGCTATTGAGCTTCTCATTCAGGGACAATTTTGCTTTCTCGAGTGCTTCTAAGACGGAGCTTAAACTATTCGACGGATCTCCTTGAGGCAAAACTGCAAGCTCGAGCTGTGGAGAGATTCTGTTAGGATGTTGTGGGAGTCTATGTTCGGGTGCCTCGGGCTTTTTGCTTGGGAAATCCCTCTTATCAATTTTCTCTTTCGATGCTGGGAATGAAAATTCTGAAGCTGAGGATTCAGAGGGCTTAATTGGAGGCTCTTTGGTAACTGAGTCTGGCTTTGATGGTGGCTCGGGAGACTTCATCTCGAACCTTTCCTCGGTCACATCCGAATGGGTCCCGAGATCACCTGAATCCTGGTTGCGGATAGACAAAAAATTGTTTTAGCTTTGAGACAAAGTCAAGAAGTAGACATATATAGCACTGTAGGTGGCGGGATTTTTTGAAGAGGTGGTCAAATACCTGTGTGCCAGAGTTATTCTCTCTGAACTTCTCCTCCCACTTTATCTGAGCTCTCTCTTCCTCTTCATATCGCCCAATGAGTTGAGCTTGATGTTGCAGTGCACTTTCCATTTCCGATTTGGTGCTCTTCGATGGAATTTTCTTGTTTTCATACTCGGGACTTTCTCTTAACACAACAAGCTCACTGTTCGATCCATCGGAAGCATCGACAGAGCATTCAGACTTCTCGGTGCAATTATTTTGTGATTCTTGTGTTAATCTGGCGAACACCAAAATAATGCAAGTCAAAAGCGTAGTCCACAGATTGACTTTGGTATGTAATTGGAAATGCTGGTCGTGCCATAAATGAGGAAATGCATTCAATATACTTCACAAAATCTTTGAATATCCTATTATCCGCTTATTTACACTGATTGCTACATTGATTAATTGTTTTTAAAGAGGGATTGTTTCTTACTGAATAGGGGAATAACAACGAGAAAAGATATATGGATGCATCTAATTAACGAAAGGAACTATTTTTTGTGACGGAGATAAGGGATGTAGAATTTTAAAAAAATTTAATGTAACATAACTGGATAGTGGACAAAGTATGAATCGTTTCAACTCAAGCAACTACGACAAAATGCATACGGTTACATTAGGCAATGAAATCGAGGAATAATTCAAATAAATACAGAAGGTTTTTCCTAATTTAAAAAGAAACAATTAAAGAAAAATCAGATTCCTCTTGTAACTAAAAATACACCTTCGAGGTTTGTGTAGGTTTTACAACCCCGTTGCCCCCTCAATTCATCAAGTTGTAAATCAGGCACTTGTGATTCAAATTATAACTGTGTTTTTTTGTACTTTTAAACAATAGACTAAACTTCAAGGCTCAAAGATAACAGTTATAATTATCTCATGCACTCATTATTNAAAAAAGATTGCAAAGTCACCTTGTTTCTCTGTGCCTTATTCTGCGACAAGATTTTCCAACCCTTCTAGCAGACTGACTATTTGACGGAAAACTAGCCCTTCTTCTGACCGAGTCTATGTACTTCTTCTTTTCAAGATAATTCTGAGAATCTTTAGTACTTCTCCAGGACAAGCTCCTACCCGTTGAAGGGGAAGACTCAATTTCAGAGCCTGAAGATGCCTCATTTTCAACTTTTCTTGGTTTTGTATCGGTTGAGGTCAATTTCGTCATTGGAGAGCCATTACGGAGCTCAAAGTCATGCAGATTTTCCTCCTGTTCGGAACAAGAATCGAAATTTTCAGACATGTCACTTATTCCATGATTTTCCAAGATTGCAAGAACATCCTCAGTTGCCTTTTCAGCTTTCTTTCTCTGAAGAGATACAAATTTGAGTTGCTCCTCGAGTTCTGTTACCTGCAATGTTATTACAAGAATCAGAAAACCAAATCATCCAATAAATTTTACAAAGGAAAAGTGAAAGCCAATACTAGGGCTTTGGAGCATGCTTACAATCATATTTCAGAAGGCCATTTAAGACTTAAAAGTACATTTGAGTTCCGTTGATGTGCTTCGTGGGTTTATATTGGATGCACTTACTATCAACTAATTACACTATCTCAAATCCTAAAATTTTGTAGATTCAGTTCATGGTTTTTTTTTTTTCATTGTTACGTATCTGTATCTAGCACTTAACTCTCCCACTCCATTCTAACAACAACACATGAAAGGAGAGAGAAATTTGTTAAAAAAGATAAATAAGATTTAGGAGATTTAGGAAAATCTAATGTACAAGATAAGACAACTAATTCCTTTCAATGCGTAATTTTGTTCTTTTAAGCTAGAAGGACAAATAATATAAAACAGAGGGAGTATATCAGATCTCATTCTATCCTATTTCCAAAAGGCACTTTTTTCTTACCTTAATAAATCCCACTCTGAACAAGAAAAGGATACATACATGCAGATTCTCATATTAACATAGCAAATACCGTTCACCAATCGCTTGCTTGATTAAAAACTCAATCTTAAATAACATCTAAGGTTACTCATCAAGTCCTTCAAAGCTAACTAAACATGAATAAGTCTACACATGATACATGTTAAGTTGAGAGAAACAGAGTAAATTAGACACTGGAACTTTACCCTCTTGGCCAGTTCATCAGCTCTTTGTTTAGCTGATTTCGAGACAGATCTTTCAGACAACAACCTTGCTCTGAGAAATTCAATCGTCATTTCATTTGATTCTTCCATGGTAGTGATTTTCCTGAAATAATTTCACTTATGAAGGTCATAACTATTACAAGGGCCACAAATCCAATACAGGATTGAACAAGAATTGCGTGGCTGAACAAGAAAAGCAACTTTCAATTCCATATTTGAAGTCACATTCAGACAACACACATATAATACTGTAGCATAAATATTTGAAATCTCCCTACCGCAATGAAACTTTCAGAATTGTGGTAAAAATTATAAGAAAGTGACGATCAATTTTTTTATTCTTGGTGTTTGCTAACACTGTTCTAATTGATCCAGCCCTAATATCTTTCAGCTGCAAATATCAAACTGCCTTAGGAATAACAAAATGAAGTTTTATAAACGCCAGAAAAGGGAAAAATTAAAATAAAAACAAAATCAAGAGAGAAATCACACCTGGGTAATTGATCTCCGTTAACAGAATCTAGCATACTTATTTATTCATTCAGTGAAAAGTCTCAAACTAATCAGATCATTTCTTTCAAGAGAAGGGTACAATAATCCTTGAGAAATTGAGGAAAAAGAATCGAAGATTCATAATGATAGGTTTGCTAAATCTTTTTCTTACCTTGGGAAGTACGGTGAGTAGTGAAGTCAGTCCAAGAGCTAGCAAGTAAAAGTAGGGTCCTCCATTTTCATCCTTTTTTGCTAAAATTCAAGCAATTTATTCTCATTTTTTGTGCCCCCGTCCCCGACCCGACCGAGTCCGAGGCTTTTCAAAAGGAAAAGTAAAAGACAAGTTCAACTTCGTTCGCATCAACTACCAAATCTCATGCGTTAATTTAAAATAGTTTTATTTATTCATGATTGATTGTCTGTTATTTTAAAAATAAAAATAATCATTATATTACTTTTTTTAAGTTTGTCATATAATAAAGTTTAAAAGTTGACAAATTGCCTCATGCATCATACAAAATAGACAATTTATCTCTAACAAGTAAAAACTCCAACATCGGCAAAAAAAAACACAATTAATGATCAAATTTTGAATCGAAATTTAAAATTGATTTACAACTTTTGAAGAGCATAATAAGAGAAACAAAATAAAGTATAATTTATCTATATGTGACTATTATTTCATCGTTAGTTGATCAACGAATAAGCTAGGCAGTGCATGAGCATAAGAATAAATTTGGTTGAATTTTTTTATGATATTTTCGATCGGCAAGTATCATTGGAAAGCTTATAAGCTGAGTATTCTAACAAGATAGATCTTATAAAATTCGAGAATCAAATATATTGATCAGTAGTTAAATAAATTGATAAATATCTAGCCTTGTTGAGCTAGTAACCGAAATCTCAATGATGGATATTCGTAAGATGGAGCTCACTAGAAAACTCATCTTATAAACTTTCTAATGACGCCAGTACCATAAAACTCAAAATTTTGTTTTATACTGTATAATTAGAATAAATTAACGAACGTCACCAGTACCATGTCACGCCATAATAATAAGAATTATTCCAAAATTTTCATCACTTCGTATAAAATGTATATGAACTATCAAATAAAGCAGAAAACCTGTAACAGTTAGTTTCTCTATGATAAAATTTATCGACGAGCCGCAGAAGGAACACTCAGGTAAGAAAACCATTTTACAGCTTCCACAAGAAAAATAAAATAAAATTATTTGCTGTTGCAGAAAACAACGGTCTGAGGAGTTCCGGTGATGAACTGCCGAATCGATTGAAGTGCATTTAAGTGAGTAGTGTCGTCAAGTGGATCTTCTACTCCATCAACAATCTACAAAAAGTGTATTCGAATGCTTTCATACACAAGTATGATAATGAATTGTAAAAATTATGGCACTTGAGGACGAATGAGAAAAAAAAAATTCACTTCACAGAAATCCAACCTAATAGAATAAAGAAGATTACATAGTTACCATTAAGGAAACATCAGATAAGTCGATTGCCTTTAAGGACAAAAGCTCCAAAAGTTTCTCAGGTGTGGACACAACAAACTCTGGCTCATAACTCTTCAAGCTGCATATTTCATTACATTAAGTAAATAAACGAATGTACAACTAACTTCTTCCGAGTTTGCAAGAAGTTTCACTTAAATCTTTCACAAAGAAGCCAAAATCAATTTTTATATTTCATTTTACTTTTTCGCACGGCTTGCAGACATTCTGAAAATTGAACATATATTCCACGAAAAGCAATAAAAACTTCATGTCACTGTGATATTATACTGAATAAAGGTTCAACAACATCAAAATTAATGGGTCCATACCATACCTAAGGGTTTTTCATATTATGAGGCTTTCAAAGCAAAAACTGCCACAAGGCGAATAATATTAAACAACCATATCTGACGAAGAAGTTGACAACAATTTATACAAAGCAACAATGGTGTGGGTACCAACAAGCATATGTCTCCTTAGAACAATTACAAATTACTACAAAATAAAAAATTATTGAAAAAAAAAATACAAAAATAAAAAAAACAAAGGGGGTGTTAACCTGTGAATTTGATGTTCTATGGACGCACCCGAATGCAAAACCAGGGTTTGTATCCCGACAACTTCCAAAAACTTGCAGATTTCGCTTACCTGATTGCACGGCCAATGAGATTTAACTTACGAACAAAAACCCAACACATATAAGCCTTCATGGCAAAGTCTAACAACAATGCCGACAAAAGGATCAAGCCTTTTCCTTAGTTATGACATCTTAATTACCACTTTCCAATTTCACCAAAATACGTGATTTTCTGTTTTCGTAATAGATTGTAACTTATAGAGCCTAACGTACAGTGTAGTGATTTCAACAAATTCGACATACACACGAGCATGCTCGAATCAAAAAGAAGCAAAATACTAGACCATTTTCATGATCGATACAATACACTTTACCTCCACCATACAAAATCAAAAACAGAAACAAAATAAAAATATATATAAAAAAAATCATGAACTACCTCGTACGTTTTCTCTTGTGAAGGCACGATATACAAAAGGAAAGGCCCGTCAAACGAGACACCCTCTTTCTCCTTGATCGATATTGTATCAGCTGCAGCCGATGCCACCCAAGCTATTTTCTCCACCGAGTTACAGCCTCCATCATTAACATCTATCAAGTCACTCCCATTGGCATAGCTATTCCAAAACTCGAGCCCCCACGAACTCGCGAAAAGAGGCATATCTACTTGAACCCCATCTTGAATTTTGTTCAAGCACATGACTAAGAATTTCGAAGGGCACCCTGTGTTGATTTCTTGGCCGTGCTCTTTCCAGGTGCCGCTCGAGCCATCCCACTTGACGAGCTGCCAAGTTGCCATCTTTACGTTGATAGCGATCTCAGGCCCCATTAAACTACCCAGTGATTTCACCAATGCAAGTATTCCATTATCGACTTTCGAGGATTTTCGAACTTTTGAAGACCCTTTTTTTAACAGCATTGAAGAGTAGATTCCTCTAGAGTTGGAAAAGAAGCTCACTGAAGCATAAACACAAACAGGACATGGGCATTGAATCACTACATTTCCTTGAATGTTGCTAAGGGTGAAAACAAACACCAACTAAAACAATTTCAACTATAATAGCCACACAGAATGAATTAATTATGGATTTAATTGTCATGCATTTATTACAGATTTTAATTTTACAGCAGAAAAATCAATTTCTTCAATGCCACATATTCAAGATTTAGGACAATATCAGATTTTATCCACACCAGCTGCATTCATCAATCAACAGACCCATTTTCATTTTTATTTTTCCTGAAATCGAGTTACAAATTCAAAACACATATCAATAATCCCACTAAGACTATGCCGAAAGGACAAATATATACTATCGTCTACACATACAGAATTAAAATAATGGAGAAAAAAGATTAGAAAAAAGGAAGTAAGAAATACAAAATGCTGATTATTTTTCGAAGAACAAGTGACCTGAGAGAGGCGGAGGTGACGATAAAGAGAAGCAAAGAGATCACTTTTTTGTGTTATTTCTTTTGATTTTCAAATCTGAGTTTGCTGATCCAATGAGTGATTTTTTTTTTCTTTTTTTTTTCACGTTTTGTTGATCGAGTTGATGAGCAGAGGAAACAGCGGTGGCGGTTTTTGCAGTTCGTGTGCTTATATACTGTGTGTTGTTTGTGTTTGGGAGTGTTAATGGAGAAAAAGCGAGAAGTTCAGGGACTTTCTTGTCAATTCGTGATAGACTGATAGTATAGGTTTGGCGGTTTTGGACTTCCATGTAATGAGCTCTGTACTTGGGCTCTTTAATATAATCAACTGCATTTTGACTAATTTAGGGAACCAAAAGATAATAATTGACAAGTNCAAAATTATATCTTCTAGATATTTATTTTTCTTCAAAAAAATTATTTTTATTTCTTCTAATCCATTTTCTCATATTTTCCTCATCTTCTAGCCCATAAATCCCTATCTATTTTTATTAGAATATATGTATGTAGGTTTATTTGTATTTTATGTTTTAGATTAAATGTATATAGGTTTACTTGTACTTTGTGTTATAGAACTTGTACCATCCCTTTACCTTCTCATATTAGGATTAGTCAACCCATATAAAAGGGAAACTAACCCTAATTGTACAGTCAGTTTTTCATTTGCCGTTTTCACAGATAATGAAGCTTTCTTCGTTCTCCTTTTCATCTTTTTCTATCTGAGTTAACATGGTATCAGAGCTCAGTTTTTTCCGATCCTTTACTGATTTCCGCTGCATCTCACCTTCTATTGTCCACATTCATCGATTCCTTTCGATTTTCTTTGGAATTTTTCTTATCGGTACCTCATATTTTACCGATCTACTCTGATTTACTCGGGATCCTCTCGATCGCCGTCGTTCTCTCGACTATTTCATTGATTCCGACCAGATCAAGGCTCTATTGTGCTCGTTCTGCACACATTCACTGGATTCACGACAGATCCGTCTCCGACTTTATTGATTTGCCGCAGATCCGTCTCAGATCTATCACTGCCTATCTTCAACTATGCCGAATCTAACTGACGATCCTACATCCCCGTACTTCCTCCATGCGAGCGATAATCCGGGTGCTTTAATTGTCGCTGAACCCTTCACAGGCGACAACTACGTTTCATGGTCTCGTTCGGTTTCCATGGCCCTCAGTGTGAAGAATAAATTAGGATTCGTCGATGGTACAATTTCTGTTCCTAATCCCTCTGCTAATCCATCTGATTCTCTTGCTTGGATACGTGCAAACAATTTGGTTTTATCATGGCTTTTGAACTCTGTTACTAAAGAAATTCGTCAGTCTTTGTTGTTTTTCTCTATTGCTAAAGATGTATGGGATGAAATCAAATCCAGATATGCATTATCTAGTGGCCCTAGGGTTTTCCAGCTCGAAAAATCTTTAAGTTCTATGGATCAGGGTTCTATGTCTGTCACCCAATACTATAATTCTTTCAAAGCCTTATGGGATGAGTATGTCACATATAGACCTGTCTTTCATTGCAACTGTGGTGCTTTAAACTCTTGTACTTGTAATATTCTTGATACTATTATCACGGCACAGCAAAATGACTCTGTTATGAAATTCCTTATTGGTTTAAATGACACTTATTCATCTCTTAGGAGTCATTTTTTCTATCCACACCATTACCTTCTCTTTCAAAGGTATATTCTCTTCTCCTTCAAGAGGAAAGCCAGAGATCCTTACACATTTCAAGTAAAACTATTGATTCTGTTGCTATGCTTGCTAAGGCACCTCCATTTCAAAATAAATACACCAAGCCACAGTTTTCAAAAGACAAACCCAAACAAAAATGTTCTCACTGTGGTTACACCAATCATTCAATTGAGAACTGTTACCAACTCATTGGTTACCCTTCCCATTGGAGAGGTCCAAAAGGTCCTAGAAAACACCCTGACCATGTCTCTGCTAACTCTGTTGTTAGTAATCCCATTACATCTGATGCATCTACAACTGACAACTTGTTTCATGAATTTATTGAGTTCAAAAAATCTTATGATAGCAAACAGGGAGTTGGACTACCTAATCCTGCTCCTATGGTTGCTACAGCTCATGTGAATCCTGACCAGTCAGGTATACTTGCTAACTCTGTTTCTATTGATAATGCTAATAAACCTATTTGGATTCTTGATACTGGTGCATCTGACCATATGATATGTGATATTTCTTTATTCACTTCACCACCTGTTCCTATCTCTATTCCTATCAATCTCCCTAATGGACAAAAAGCTTGTGCATGCCATGTGGGACAGATCAATCTGGGACCTAATCTTGTGCTACACAATGCCTTATTTGTTCCATCTTTTAATTTTAACTTAATCTCTGTTTCAAAGCTAACATCCACTAACAATTGTATGGTCAACTTCATGTCTTCCCACTGCATTTTGCAGGACATAACATCCAAAAGGATGATTGGTTCTGCTGAAGCTAGAAATGGCTTATATTTTTTTACAAATATTCCATCCTTTATTTCCTCATGTAATAGCAGTACCTCTAATGATGTATCTACTTCTGAAATGTGGCATAACAGACTTGGACATCTCTCTTATCATAAGCTACATTCATTACATTTTTCAGACAATTCTTGTAAAGATCTTGCATCTAAGCCATGTGATGTATGCCATTTCTCTAGACAAAAGAAATTGCCCTTCACTGTCAGCAATAGCATTGCTTCTCATATTTTTGAATTGATACATTGTGATATATGGGGTCCTTTCTCTATCACTTCTCATTCTGGCTTCAAATACTTTCTTACAATAGTAGATGATTTTAGTAGAACAACCTGGATTTATCCCTTGCACTCTAAAGCTGATACTAAAAGTCATCTACTGCACTTTCATAATTTTGTCAAAACCCAGTTCAATGCATCTATTAAAACTATAAGAACTGACAATGGCACAGAATTTTTCATGCATGATTTCTTTACATCTTTAGGTATTCAACATCAAACTTCTTGTGTTGAAACCCCTCAACAAAATGGCAGGGTTGAAAGAAAACATCAACATCTATTAAATGTGGCTAGAGCTTTACTATTTCATGCACATCTGCCTCTTAAGTTTTGGATTGATTGTATTCTAGCTGCTGCACATATAATAAACAGAATACCCTCAGCCATTTTACAAAACAAATCTCCTTTTGAAATACTTTACAACAAACCTCCTACTTATGATCATTTGAAAGTCATTGGCTGTTTATGTTATGCTTCAACCATTTCTTCTCACAGAACAAAATTTGAAACTAGAGCATCAAAGTGCATTCTTCTTGGTTATCCACTGGGTTGTAAAGGTTATAGACTTTACAATTTGGAAACCAAGAAAATATTGATTTCCAGGAATGTGTTCTTTTATGAGACTGTGTTCCCTTTTCAAAATACCAATATCACTCCCCATAACTCTCTGTTTCCTGCCCCACCCAACTTCATATATGATCATCCTATATCTGACAATAACAATCATATAACAGCAATTACAGACCTTCCTGAACTACATTCAGATAGCTCTGAATCTCCCATTACCACAGCAACTACAAATCCTATCCCAACTTCCCAGACTCAATCTACTATCCCTACTCCCCAATCCCATACACCCACCTTATCACCCTCTCAAATCAGAAAATCTACCAGACCCAGAAAACCTCCTTCTTATTTGAACATGTATAAACACTCTCTCCCACCTTCTTCAAACTATACTTCCACTTCCTCACAGTCTGACACACCTGGAACATCACTCTATCCCATTTCATCATTTCTTTCAACTGATAGGCTTAATGCAAAACACAAATGTTTTACTGCATCCATTTCCTCAAATATTGAACCCAAAAACTACAAACAAGCTTCAAAAGACCCTCTATGGGTTGATGCTATGAATAAAGAAATTGAGGCTCTTGAGAAAACAAAAACCTGGGTTCTAACAACTCTCCCACCTAACAAAAACTGCATTGGCTGTAAATGGGTGTTCAGAATCAAATACAATTCTGATGGTACTATAGGCAGATACAAAGCCAGACTTGTGGCAAAAGGTTACACACAAGAAGAAGGTTTGGATTACTTTGACACTTTTTCTCCAGTTGCTAAGATATCTACTGTTAGAACTTTACTTGCCATTGCTTCTATTAAAAATTGGAACCTTCATCAACTAGATGTCAACAATGCATTCTTGCATGGTGACTTAGATGAAGAAATATATATGTCCCCTCCCCCTGGTTATGAAACCACAAATGCTTCTCAAGTTTGTAAACTGACAAAAAGCCTGTATGGCCTTAAACAGGCCTCTAGACAGTGGTTTCACAAACTCACTCAATGTCTTTTAAACTTTAGATATACTGCATCTTCTGCTGATTGTTCATTATTCATTAAATCTAAGCCTAATTCCTTTACTGCCTTGTTAGTCTATGTGGATGATATTATTCTTGCAGGTGATGACATGAATGAGATCAACAAGGTAAAATCACATTTAGACACATGTTTCACCATTAAGGACTTAGGCACCTTAAAGTACATTTTAGGCATTGAGGTTGCACAGTCAGAAAAGGGAATCAATATATGCCAAAGAAAATATGCTCTTGACATATTAGAGGATACTGGTTTTCTAAACTCTAAACCTGCAAATTCACCAATGGATTCCAACTTAAAACTCACAGCCACTTGCACAAATAATGATGATTATATTGATGCCACTTCATATAGGAAATTAATTGGGAGGCTCCTTTATTTAACTATAACCAGACCAGATTTGTCTTTTAGTATACAGGCCCTCAGTCAATTTTTGAGTAAACCAACTCAGCAACATTTAACTGCAGCTCACAGAGTCCTCAGGTATATCAAAAACACTGCAGGCCAAGGTATATTCTATCCCAGATATTCTACCTTAAATTTAGTTGGTTTCTCTAATAGTGATTGGGCTGGATGCATTGATACTAGAAAGAGTATAACTGGCTATGCATTTTTTATTGGTTCCTCTTTAATTTCCTGGAAGTCTAAAAAGCAAGCAACTGCGAGTAGATCCTCAGCAGAAGCTGAGTATAGAGCCTTAGCAACTGCCACTTGTGAAGCTCAATGGTTACTATATCTCCTGCATGATCTAAACATTACTCATTCTGCCCCTGTTGCTCTTTTTTCAGATAGTAAATCAGCTGTTGCCATTGCCAAAAACCCTATCCAACATGAAAGGACAAAGCACATTGAAATTGACTGCCACTTGATAAGAGAAAAGCTAGCCAAAGGTGTTATCACTCTACAGCATGTTTCTTCTCAAGATCAACTTGCAGACTTGCTCACCAAGCCTTTGGGAGTTCAAGTATTTCAACAAAATTTGTCCAAGATGAACATGTTAAATATACATGTTCCTCTTGCGGGGGGGTATTAGAATATATGTATGTAGGTTTATTTGTATTTTATGTTTTAGATTAAATGTATATAGGTTTACTTGTACTTTGTGTTATAGAACTTGTACCATCCCTTTACCTTCTCATATTAGGATTAGTCAACCCATATAAAAGGGCAACTAACCCTAATTGTACAGTCAGTTTTTCATTTGCCGTTTTCACAGATAATGAAGCTTTCTTCGTTCTCCTTTTCATCTTTTTCTATCTGAGTTAACAATTTTCAATACAAAATCATATTCTCTCTTATATCCCTCCTTATTCATCTCAATTTCTTTCACTCATCCGTACTTGATTTTAATCCATTCAGCTTTGGCAATTATATATATATATATATATATATATATATATATATATATTTTTATTCAGAAATACGATTGAATATAAATTTTTAGCTCAAAATCTACTATTCATCTAATTCAAATTTTTCTCCTCAATATTATCAATATAACGAAATAATAAAGATTAATCATTACTATACATTTTTCAACAAAATTCATTATTCATTCACTCACATACTTTTACCTATCAATTATTTACAATCATTATTTTACTATTTTTACATCACATCAACTTTAATTATTATATTTTATTTACTTTTACCTATCAATTATTTACAATCATTATTTTATTATTTTTACATCACATCAACTTTAATTATTATATTTTATTTCATATCTGTTAACAAACTCGAAATTATATCAAGTCTTCCACCCATTCAAATTTTCTTTCACTCTTAACTCACTTCATTCAATCAATCAAAATTAACCCAAAAATTATATTCAGTCGCCTAGATCAAGTAGAACGGTTGATATCGATATTGTTGCATGTGGCTGAAAGAACAATTGGACGGTATAAATACTCAGTGCGGTCGTTTGTCAGGCCCTGTGACGAGGCTAACATCGGCAAAAGGAGGTGGCGAAGAGATTATAGATTTGATTTTATATTCGGATGAGAAATAATTAATTTGTGATTTGTTTTGTAAATGGTTCAATTGAAAATCCGCTTTTTCATCTTTATTTTCAGATGATATTGCACGATCAATGCTACCACCAAATTATTGTTCTAAGTTCTAATCAATGGCACTAGTTTTTGGCAAATTATTTTGAGCTAATCTTAGTTTTATTAGAACAAGGGAACATACGAAGAAGCAATTCATGAAGACAGGTTTGGAGTCTAGAATTCATATGTGAAGAAAAAGTTGACATTAACAAACATCCCTCTCAAAGGAGGAATCTACCAAATTGAAACGTAACATCAAAGCCAAATTACTAGATTTTTTATTTCGTACTCTCTTGAGTTCCAGTCTTTTTTTACCAATATGATGCCTCACCTATGCCAAAGGAAAGCAACAAAATCATAAAACCAAGCCANCAAAAAAAAAAAAAAAACCCTCAAAAGGCTGTTGAACTTGTCTACTGCATCAAAACAACTCAAATTCTTTTAACCTTCACAACTTAACACAACATACCTTTCCACCAAAAGCATTCGAATTCGAATTTACTCATGTGGTGCACCAGTAAGCTTTATATCCTCTTCTTCACCATCAAACTCTTGCTCCACGCCCTTCACCTCCGGCACATAATGCATCAGCATATTCTCGATCCCGGATTTCAAGGTGACGGATGAGCTTGGGCACCCACTGCACGCCCCTTGCATTCTGAGTTTCACAATTCCAGTTTCTGGCTCGAATTTCACATACTCGATATCCCCACCATCATCTTGCACTGCTGGGCGAATACGAGTCTCTAAAAGCTCTTTGATCATGGCAACAGTTTCCGAGTCATCCTCGTGTATGGCTGTGTCCATCGAGGCTACAGTTGTTGAGTCCAAGATCAATGGCTGCCCAGATGAGAAGAAATCCATTATGGCTGCAAAAATATGAGGTTTTAGCAGATCCCATGAGTTTTCGTCCGACTTTGTCACTGTTATGAAATCTGATCCGAAGAAGACCCGGGTAACCCCTGTGTCAGTAGAAAAAAATTGAAGACATATTATGAAACATGAGAAAGTTTAAAATAAATTCATAATACTGAGATTGGCAAAAATGAATATTACTTCTGTCATGAAGTTCCTTACACTCATGATCATTTCAAGTTTGGAATTTTATACTGGTACAAGATATCTTAGAGAATAGGCAGTGCGTAATAACTAATATCTAATAAAAGAAAAGAATAAAGCTACCATTAGAAAGTACAGGTCAGTCGTGAAAAAAAGGTTGAACATTATGCCACAAGAATCATGCTAGCGCAATTTGTTGTCCGGAGAGGCTGAGGGAAATTTCCAGCTTTAGATCCTTAATGGAAATTACTGCCATTATTTACCCCAAACATATATGAAACACTTATTTGATCAACGGTAATCTCCATAAGCAGATATAGAGGGATTAATAATCTTAACTCTTTTACCAATTGCAGATTACCTAGATTCCCCTTGATCCTTGACTCTACCATTGTTATAAATCTAGTTCACATGATCCTTGACTCTACCATTCATGGAGTAATATGACATAGGAAACAAGAAATTCAAGAAGGAAAGACTGAAGCATGACTGTTTTATTCCGGTGGAAAAAAGGGAAGGACACATAATTAAGGTTTAAGTTATCGACAGTAGTTTTTTTGTTTGTCCTGTAGTGATGTATTGCAGCTAGACTCTCTCCGGAGCAGGGAAAAATATAGAGGAACAATGAACAACTTCAGATCAATTGATATTCATTTGGTCCCATTACAGTTCAAATATTAAAGCTGGATTTACCTACACGCAACTACACCATAGAACTAGTATGCAGTTGGTCCACATGATAATCCCACAGTTAAGGGGCAATTACCAACTTGCAGCATGCACAGTGTCATTATACTATACTGCTGGAATCAAATGGTTTATTGAGCATTCCTCCAAAAGACAAAAAAAAACTCACACACCTGCTTTTTTCAGCACAGCTGCTAATAGATACTATGTGTTCTATAAATGCTAGGATAAAGTGACAAGAAGGATCTCAACAGCTCAGATTAATTGTTACCAGCAATAACAAAGTTAACATAAACAAATTATAAATGATATGGGAAACTGATAAATGTTTGTAAAAATGGTTCCCAAAATGTTTGGAGAGTCTGAGTGGAAAGTTCTAGTTGCTAATATTTTCATTTATGACTCGTGAAAGTACCAGTAACCTCTTATCCCATAAAGAAACTTTGTAGTCTGTACTTAATTACTTATACATTGCTACACTGTAATCATGTAAAAACAATCCAATCGTTCAACTTGCTGGAGTTACATAGCATCAAAACTTCAGCAGAAGAGCAGTGACTTAATCCTTTGGTTTGCATCACAGTTCATTGACCTTTTAAGGAAACAAGACACTGGGGGCATATCACAATAGAATCCAAAGCATTCCTTCATAAAAACCAGATGAGGGAAATGAACTAACAGAAGAAGTAACAAGAGATAGAAAACTTCTCTTTCTCATACAACTATTCTCTTTGTCCCATTTCATACTGATATTTTGATAAACCCTTGCCAGTTTGCCCCAAATGATACTCTCTCAACTCATGCAATCAATAATTACTCCAGAAGATAATACTCATAGCCAAAGACATAGAGTTGCAAAATGTAACAGCTAAACTGCTTAAGCAAATTTGGTCCCTTTTGATCTTCAACTGCTGAAAGGTGCATATATTTAGAATCTAAAACAAAATAAGGAGGATAATAGTAGAAACCCTATGACATAAATTAACAACCTAATCATATCATCCATAAGAGCGAGAATTGGGATGCGCACCATCAATGCCGAACAGAGCCTTTGCCAGCGGAGAACTCATTGCAGAACGCGCATTAGGAAAGTCAGCACTTCCATTCTCCATAATTGGCTTCCCCGGGAAGAACATGAGAGAAGCAGGATTTGGAGTGGACTGCGTTTGGATAAATATGTTCCTCCTCTGCCCTGTCATAGCTGAAGTTGTTACAAATTTATGATTAGGAAACATAAGCCTCTCCCCAACCCTACTAAGGGAAAAACAAAATCAACTGTAATATTTGGTGGTTTGTATTTTTCAGCAAGCATTTGTGGTCTTAAAATCAGCAAACAACAAGTTCAATATAATTCAATACTCGGATTGACAAAAGGTAAACGCATCTAAATGCAGAATAGGCTTGTAATTCAAAGAAAGAAGTATGGAAAACAAAAAGATTGTCAAAACTGTTTACATCATGCAAGGTACAGGATTAAAGTAGCAATTTCACGAAATCTCACTGGCAAAAAAAGCGTTAATCAGATGTAATTATTCATATAAACTGCGCCACGAATTCTCAGAAACAATTTGAATACGCACAAGAAAAATCTAAGAGTTCAGATGTAACAATAGTAAAATTAGAGGCGACCAGCTAAGGCTGAGCCATACCTTTGAAATGATCCCATTGAGATGGGCGTGCAGAGGAGCTCAGCAAGGTTGAACCGGACAAATGAGTCGAAAAAGAAGAGTATGAAAAGAAACGACGAATTATGTATGTCCCCAAAGCGGGTTTGATTGAAGTTAAGGGTTTGGATAGCAGTCCGCCATTGTTGCTGCTCAGTAGAAATGAACGGTGCGCCAATCTTCCCAGACTTTTCATGGCTAGTTAAACTAATACGAGTAATCAATCCTTATCAGCCTTTTGAAATAGCCCCTTTTAGTACAGAACCATTATATATAAATCTTTTAGATGAGAGGATCTGTATTCTATACCCAGTGCGTGTTCTAAGTTCTAACATGTCAAAACGGGCCGGCGGGCGGGCTAACCCGCAGCCCGCCAAAACTCGCTATTTGGCGGGGCGGGGCGGGGCGGGCCGCCATCTTGACAGGCCTGTGAAAGGGCATCTCGGCCCAACCCCGCCACGGGCCGCGGGCTACACGAGCCAGCCCGCCACATATTTAAAAAAAATAAAAATCTGAGAGCTGAAATACTGGGAGCAGAGAGTTCAAAAACCAAGCCAGAGATATTGTTGAAATACCTAGAAAACGAAGTTCGAACCTTAACATCATCATTAAATTTATATTTATATTAAAGGGGTACTATTTACCAAATTAAGTAGCCAGAAAAGTCAACAGCATTTATTGCATTATTATTTCTGTATTATACTATATAAAAGGATATTCTATTTATTATATTTACTATCCAGAAAAGTCAACTGCATTAAATGTCATTACTATTTTGGTATTATAATAGTTTATTTATTTAATTAATTTATTTATTTGTTTTATTTTAAAAAGGTAATAATAAAAAGATTTTAATAATAAAAAAATTAAATACCAAATAAAAATGTACACTTTGACTTATTTGATTATACCAAATATATTCCTATTTAGTATATACATTAAATACTTGTTAAAGTATTTATTTATTTTATTTGTCAAAGTTAAGTATAGATGTGTTTATATTATCAAATCATAAAAAAATATTAAATCCATATTGTAAAAAAAAAAAATCATATAATTTTATAACAATTCTACTACACTATTTAACAATATTCCTTTTTTATTATATAATAAAATAATGATTAAATATTATATAGTGAACAACAATAAGTAAAACTGTTATTTTCTCTTATATCAAGGGATAAATTTATATGCTAAAATTAAATTTTTATTAGTATAAATGTTTTAGCCGAGATAATATATTAATTATTTTACAAGCTAGCCCTAATTTGCTCATATTTAATATTTTAAAAGATGTAGAAAAAAAACTTATAATAACTCTATTGTTTTTAGACTTAAACGTTGATTAAAAGAGGTAAAAATTTCTAATTTTTTAGACTTAAACGTTGATTAACACCATAGATTTAGAGTTTATATTTAGTAAAATTCCTAATTGTAATAAAAAAAATTAATTTTTGCTATATTTTAGAATATCTTTAAATTCATTATAAAAAAAAAAGAAAAAAAAAACTACAATGAAAAAAACAAGTCAGCTATATATCGATTTGTTGTACTCCTCAAATCACATTCACAATTTGGCTACAAGGAAAGGAAACTCATTCATTAAAATATTATTTTGTCAGTAGTCTTAATGTACAAGAGACTTTAAGACTCCACTTGAATATTATAAAACTTTTATTGAACAAAATTTCTTGCGTATTATAAACTTTTATTGAATATTGCATCTTATAATATAATATTCTCCAAATAAATATATCTCGTGCGCACGTACTAGTATAAAATTAACACCACAAACTTCACAGTATTTTATCAGATTCCAAATACTAAAAAGTCAATAACCATCCATATAACTGTGAACCACATCATGACCACCACAAACACAGCATAAACCCTTCTAACAAAAAAATAATTGCTCACCATTCACCAAAATCTTAAACAGCCAGATTGGATAATGAAGTTAACTAACAGGACATTAATTCATTTGCCCCCTCGACCCTGTTCGCCCTACAACCTTGACCACAACAGCCACCTTGATTTGAGAATCCATTTGCGAGTAATAGCAGATCTCAAAGAGCCTGAAAGAATCCTAACCTTAAAGAGATCTGCGCACGGATTTTAGGAGTTCACTCACCTCACGGACCCGTCTGTTTTGGACTTTTAGGAAAACAAAAGAAAAGAAAAGCGTGTTAACTAAGGAGTTAAGAGAGTGAGTGTCGTAACATTAAATTGTAACATCTTTTATTTTCTAAATGACGGGCTGGCCCGCAGCCAGCTCCGTCAAAGCCCGCGGACCGCGCGGGCTAGCCTGTTTAGGCCTGCTCTTTGGCTGGATTGTAAAAAAAACAGCCCAACCCGTCTATTAGGTGGACCGGGGCGGGTCGACCCACGGGCCTAGGCCTGTTTTGACAAGACTAGTTCTAAGTTCTAACTTCAAATACACACCGAACATCATTTTGTTTATCAGACCATTAAATTAAATAATATTGTAATATATATGTAAATAAATAAAGTATTTTAGGTACACTTATATATAATTTTCCCATTATAATAATACCTCACATTATAAAAAATTTTTATTAAAAATGAGCACATCTATATATATAATTATTGGCAAATCAATTACTAAAATCTATTTTGTTTTCCCTCCAAAAGATGTTATAAAAATGTATCCTTAATATTTTTTTTTTCTTCACTTTATTCCACTTCTATCTAAATGTTACAATCAATATTATTCAACTTTTATATGTAATATAATTTCTAATATTCTTACATAATATTGGTCACTTTATTTTTCCCACGCACTTAACCATATTTTATTTTACTAGTGTGCATCCCGTGCGATGCACGGACGGCCTAATTACTTAAAACTTTTTTAAAATTTTATTTTAAACATAATTATTTACATTTAACATCTCAAATTGCAACAAAACAAATTTAAAATATAAAAAATTATATATTATTTATTTGAATATAATGAGTGTCCCCAACAAAACCAATAACATCCAACATATGATATATGATAAAAATAATTACATGAATCGTCATGTTTCTTAAAATAAATATATTTTTATCTACATATATATATATGTGTGTATATATTTAATAAATATGAGATATTTAAGATTCGCATTAACATTTGTAATTTGAGTATGAGATGAAAAATGATGTGTACAAAAAAATAGGTACCAAGAATCCACATAATATGAGATTCTTTCTAAACTTTAAAAGATTTTGTAGTTAGATAAATATGGACAAAATAATTATCAATTAGGTTGAACAATCTGAAATATTAAAATTAATTTATGAAAATAACATTCTTTATTAAATAAATATGAGATTTGTAGATAGATAAACATGGATAAAGAAAATATTTAACAATTAAGTTGGCATGATTTTTTGGAAAGATTTCAAAAAATTTCAAATCATTTATTCGTTAAATGAGTGACTGGATTTCTGTAACCTAATTCACACGTTAGACTGAAAATTTTAAGAAAATGATTGATCGATTTTTTTGGGAGCAAGAATTTCAATATTCTTTCTTATTATGGACCAAATTTACTCATTTAAGAAAATAATTGCCCATATTTTTAAAAATTAAGGTTTACACAATATCTTTCTCAATTTTTTTTTTTTTTAAATTTGAATTCGAATTCGAATTTTCATTCAGCCGCCATTTAAAAAAAATACTAAAAATATTAACTTTGAAAATTTTAGACGGGAATTTTAATAATATTTCAAGTAAATCACTCTCCATATTATATAATTATAGATTATCCAAGTATATAGCTTTAACTAAAAGTGATCATCAAGATTTTATAATTTTGTTGTTTTTGGTCAGTTGGCGATTTTGTTACTATTAAATCAACCTGATTTTGTTGACATTTAAGCCATGTGGATGATTAAGTCTTTTGGTTAGCATGATAAATTTTATAATACTTGGTAACCACAATATTTGGTGAAAATTATTGTAATCTTAACATTAATTTGCATTCAAATATAGATTGACTACGAAATGGAATAAATATTTTGTGCATCGTATCATTAAACCAAATTTGAAATGAAAATAAAATATATTTTTGAGATTTCATAATAGCGAAATATGTTATAATCATTTCATGAAATTAGTCAAGATTAGAGAATTAGAATTTTTTACGTTTTTTTTAAAATAAAGCTACGAATTTACTTCACATTATAGAATTCCAATTTTTTTACGTTATTTTAAATAAAGCTATTATATTATATTGTAAGTACGATTAATAAGCCTTACACAATTTTAACGTTAGATTAAAAAATAGTGATTTTTTTTTTACAAAATTCTACTAAGTTTAATTCAGGGTGCATATTATAAGCTATACAAAGATCAATTTACATATAGATTTTAAAATATAAAAATAATAAAAGTTTATCACACATATCTTTAATTCCCATTAAAATTAGCCGTCCAACATCAAATTTCACTAATTCTAAAGTGAGAGACAATATATTAGCTAAAAAATAGTGCTATTTTCGTATGGAGAATATTTTTTGTTGGAAAAAAAAATATTATTTACAAAATTGTATGGATAAAAATTACTTATTTATCAGGATAAATATTATTATTTTTCACATGCTCATTTTAGCTAACCGTGTTATATGAGGAAAATATAATATATGCTTATGATATTCAAATTTCAAAATTCAAAATATTTTTGAAATTTTCATATACAGTAAATAGATTCTAGTATTCTTTTAAAATACATGAATGTTATATATTATAGTACTTAGTATTGTGGGGAGGATTTTTATTTATTTATTATTTCTGGTAAATAAATTGAAATTTGAGGTATTTGCACATCTATATATATATATAATAAGAATTAACATTTAACAAAAATAGTAGGTCAATTTATGGTCAAACGTAGGTCTGCATTAATTCTTTTCCATAAATGGCAGGTTTTAATTCCTTTTCACACACTGCATTAATGACGCATTAATTACACCGTTATCCCTTTTCACACACTACATTGTACAACCACAAAAAGCTGCCTTATCCCGTTAATGCAGCCGTATTGTTTGAAATTTAAAAATCTTTTTTTTTAATATTGTTTTAAACAAATCATCATGCCGCCTTATTGTTTGAATTTCTAAAAAGTCCTTTTTTAAATATTTTTCCTTCTCTCGATCTTGTTAGGCAAAATGATAACATGTGTCTTTACCTAATTGTAACAGATAGTGTTTATTGAAAAAAAAATCGAATTGCATAGAAAATGAGTTCAATTTCAAATTGAAAATTAAAATTTATAAATCCCTTATCATTGGCTACTACTTTCTTTAGTTTGTTTTTTTTTTTTTTAACGTAAAGCAGAATCAGATAATATTAATTTGAAATTCAAAATAAAATTAGATTGGAACATC